TCCACTGAGCCATCAATACTCGGGTCTCTCGCAGCAGCTCGAGTTGTCCGTCTCCAAAGGGTAGAGTTTTGGACTCTTATTTAGTTCGGGGGCTCCGGGTGACGGTTACTTAGTCTTTTCACTAGGCACTTCTCCCTAACACTTTGAGAATTTTTTTATTTAGGCTATTGAATGTGACTCCATCGACTTTTACAACAAGTTTTAGCCGCTACTCCTTCGTCGTTCCTGCTATGAAAGGGGAAGCTAAGATTATGCAGGTTGTGGTTGTAGTTTTTGCTTTGTAGGAGAGATTGGCATTTTGCTTTTGAACGAAGAATATCAATATCTTGGAGAGATCCCAATATTGACCAATCATCGGTATATGAGATAAATAAAATGAACTCTTTGTTTAGTCTTATGGTGCTTCGAAGATTGACCTCAAAATTCTACCGATATCTGACGATCACTCAGGTAGTTAGCAGTCCATCTCTTCAACCTCCGCAGTATTGAGGAGTCTCCAATGTCCGATAGTAACACAGAGTAAATGACACTAAAGGATTTTGACAGTTCCACTGATGCAAGGAGAGTGCTTTTTTTTCTCTGTTACAATTATAAACAAGCAGATATACATCAATATCCGCATATATTTTGCACAGCGAATTATTATATTAGAATCAGAACGCTTCTACAAAACCTTATTTTATAACTTCATTGCATGTTTTCATCGCCCAAGCTTCGAAAATATTTTTTTAATCAAATACTTTGGCTTAGAGAGCAGAAGTATATGATTTACAAAGCCTGCTTCAAATCCGAATATAAATTATTGATCCAAAAATTTTAAGCATTTAGACGTTGTAGATCCACCAGGTGGTCTATTTATCTATCGGCTGAAGGTCTACGTTCTTCGGCGTGTGCGAATGGTTGTCAGAAGTCTCTACACATTTGGAACGTTTCGTGTTCTCTCTGGCGTTTTTTATTCATGAACAGCCTAAATGTACCCACCATCATCAAAGTAGGGTATAAACATTTGCACACACACTCTGTTACTGTCTTATACACATGTGGTGTCTAAAAGTGCAGTAAAATCATTATTAGAACATTATGAAATGAGAGTGTGAGTAGAAAGCGGACGAGAGTGGGACGAAAATAAAAAACTAAGAAATAAAATAAATATTAAAATGACGAATGCGCAAAGTGTCTTCCCGGCAGCTATATTTAGCGCCACATCAAGGCAAAGCGAGCGCAGCAAGTACACACATACGTGTATGGCATTGCTGGGCGGAACTTTGGTGGCATTCATAAAGTGTCACTGATGTTGCATTCTAAATACATTTTATCTGACGACATATACACAAACACACGAATGTTTACTTGTATGCATGTGTGCATAGCTCTGTAGGTCTTTGTGTGACAAGTGAAGGAGCAGGCTAAGTTTATTGCATAGACGGGCCAAAGGTCATAAAGTACTTTTCAAAATGCTGGGAAAGAAAGCACAAAGCCATGGGTAACAATCTTGGTTAGCATGGTGGTGTCGCACACGTATTGTTCTAAAAAGCATTGCACTTGAACCTGTCGCATATATGCTGACATAAATAATTAAATATGCCCACGAAACATGGTCACATTTTGCTTTTTGGGTCAAACGTGCCTGTGACTTGATATACTTTTTTTTATTATTAAGATTCAATTTTATTTTGCTACTGGAGCTATTATGATTTAAATATCTTCTCCAAGCGCAGTTGGAGCCAAACTCCTTAGGTAATCTAAACGAAACTTGCTCAAAATTTGACTACAGTTAAATCTTCAGGAAGTTTCTTAAGTTTATTCTTCTCAGGAAGAGTGGCTTGTAACCGCAGAAGCGATTTTTCGGCCGAGCTCCTCCTTCAATTTGTGGTTTTACGTCTTGATGTTTTTCCAACAAACGTAGGGACCTACAGTTTATACTAAGCCGGACGGCTGATGGTTTTTTAAGTGGAGAGGTGGACATTCCATGCCGAGGTGCGAATGCAATTAGTAAATTTGACTTATTTTTTTATTTAAATTAATGTTTTCGAAATTTATTTATTAATAAAGTATTTTTCAAAAATAAGTCCATATTATTTTATGGAGTCACTGACTGCTGGCCGTTACTAGTCAAGGCTATTTACAGGGAAAACTGATGATCTTCACACTCATTACTGAAGCGCTGCCTTCATTGCCTACGAAAAACTTTGGAATTCGAGTTAATCTCCTCGCGACAGACTTCGGGCTACTATTAAGTCTCTCAAATGCAATCACACGATAATGGAAGTTCGCGACCTACGTGCTGGATAGAGGAGAAATAGTCATAAACAGGGTAAGCTCAGATGTGGACATACATACCTCTCTCCTCTGCAAGCCGCTTATCAGGGGTAGCCTCTGACAGAAACGTCAACAACAGATGCAAAGTGAAATCTCTTGTTATGTGACCAGTTGAATATGACCCTCGATTGAAGAGAAAGTAACTAAGTTTTAAATCCTTCTAAACAGGGTAATAATCTTATACTCTCTTATGGACTGACTTTTGCCAAAGAGCAGCAATAGATATCAGAAGGAACATTATTTCGGCCACTTTAGGCATCAATAATCTCCTTAACTTCATAATACGCAATAATCGGTTTGAATATTTGGAAAGTAAGGCAAAAAAATGGAATCGAGGGAGCAAGAGAATTGGTCCGCTTGCACAAACTTTGTGCTCTCCGATGAGAATAAAATTTCTACAGAGCCGTCCATATACTCCCTGAAAGCAGTACCACTATTGTGAGACTTTGAGTGGTCGGCGGTAGTACTTTTTACCCTCAAGTAATGTTATGTGAAATTGTTACTGTTGATTGACTCTCTAAGGTAGATTCTATCGAGCTGGATCTCCAAACCAATGCGAGCTGATATCTGGAAAATGTCTGTTGCTTCAGATATTTGAAGATTGCATACTAATTTTTTAAGCCTTAGGAAACTACGGCCAAGGGAAAAGATACCCACGTCATGCTTGATCGATCTCCAAACCAATGCGAGCTGATATCTGGAAAATGTCTGTTGCTTCAGATATTTGAAGATTGCATACTAATTTTTTAAGCCTTAGAAAACTACGGCCAAAGGAAAAGATTCCCACGTCGGGCTTAATCGAAAAGATCTTAATATATTGATTATTTTCATATTTTTTTCTATTTTAAAGAAATTATTTAAGAAGAAATACGGCACCACTTCTACTAATCCATCTTTTACTCACACCCACTTTACAAGCGCATAATCTAGTTAAAGTTTTATCAATTCTTTCTGTTGTATTTCGGTCCCAACCAAGTTTGCTATCTTTTATTACTTAACTTTGGTAAAGAAGGTGGTACCTGTGTCCTTTATTGAGAGAGGTTTAAACGATAGACATTGGTACCTTCTCGTAAAGAGTAATGCTTGGTTTTAGGTGGATTGATGTCCCAGTTAAAAGCATTTTTCCTATATTTTTAGCACAATTCGAGCTCCATTTTCACAGCAAAAATTGAATATTATGTTATTGAATTATTTCAGAAATTTGATTATGCTCGTGATTACAAGCAATAAATTTCAGTCCCGAAATATTGAAAAAATTGCCACTGACATTGTCAACTAAAAATTTATTTTTATGTTTTAATGTCGCAACGCAGAGCTCATAGAAATAAATATGAAAAGATGGCACGCATTGACCTGAGAGGAAATTTTTATTTAATGACAACAATATGAAATATCCCTCTCGGAGATGTGCTGACATTTGCAAGATTTTGAATATAGGGTATCGTGAGTTCGGCCAAACCTTATAGAATGACGTACGAATTAATTTTCCTTCTTAAGGGATGTACATTTAGTTCCATTGCGCTGCATTATACATATATATATGAGTGGATAAGAAGGCATAGATGTGGTGGATATGGCTTAATTCTAACTTATATGCCAGTATCCTTTACAGATCATTGCTTTTTTTATAATTTCTGCGATTACTAATTTTATATTTGTAATTTTTTTTGAACCAATATATTTTAAGCGAAAGTTATTGTTCTAAGAATGTTATTATACTCCAGGGGTGTACTCAAATTTAACAAATATTTTCATTTACAATTCAACTCAGAGTTCCGATTAGAAAAATCTACTTATGCAATGGATAATCAAGATAATATTTTTTTATTAAAATTAATAAATCAGTTTGCGAAACCACTCTTCCGTTTCTCACAGGGCACCCGCTCATTTACACATAGTATTTGCAGCATATGATGCACGCGTGTGTTTGTTGTGATTTATTTTTAGTCGTCATAGACGCAGTCCCGGAACATGAGTTTCTGTGGCATTGCCTTAGCGTGTATGTACGTATATAAATACATATGTATGTTTGTAAATATGTGAGTATTTAAAGTGCATTTGTTTTTAGTTTTGTATCTCAATTCTTTTTTTGTCTCAATGCAGCGATTTAAAATATTGCTTTCGCTCGCCGCATAACATAGTACGCATATGTTATGTATGGAATTATTAAAGATGTGGCGTTAAAGCGAAAATATATTTCAAAATAATACCAAAAATAAGCCTAAATGGGCACAAATGAAAAAAATTTCATAAGAAAGTGAAATGGTTTTGAAGTGCAACGGACATGAATGCTCTGACAATATACAATATTTAATACATATATATATATATATATATATATATATATATATGCGAGTAAGTATATATAAACCTAGGAGTCACCAAAAAAAGAATGCACCGACTGTTGCATGTTGAATGTGGAGGTGGCATGGCGGGTGTCAGAACGGGGAGAGAGGCCGTAGTAGTGTTGAAGCATAGCTGGGAAAATAACGTTGTGTTGTTGGTCTGTTGTTTGTTTCGAAATGTATTTTTGGGCGGGAAATAAATGCTTTTCCCTTTCCACACCAATAGATGTGTTTATTTTTGTGTTTGTTTGACTGACTGACTGAACAGTCTGAACAGTCTGAAACACAGCAAGAGTGCTTGGTGTGGGTATAAGGATAGTGTGTTATTTGAAAATCTCGACATTCCACGCGTTGACTTTGTGGAGTACGGAAGGATTGAAAAGTGCGTGCGCGCAAACGATTGCTCGGAATTATTTGTTTTCAAAAAAAAAAAAAAACCAAAAACTCTTTTTTTATTTTGTGTGCTTACAAATAGAAAATCAAATCAAAACAAATGGGTTTAACATATAAAGCGTTGAAATACAGAGACATAAAAATGAATGTGGCCAAAGCGAAGGCGGATGACATGGTTGTTGACACTGATTGCGAGACAACAACCAATGTGGCTCAGCAACAACAAGATGATACAGATTTGGTAACTGAAGCGAGTTCATCACACAAATTGCAAGCAGCGACGGCTATGGCGGACAATCAGCCACAACAATTCACTGCTGATCATATTATGAAATTGTGTTTATTTTTAGCAGAAAAGTCCAGATCAAAGGTGAGCAATTTGTGATACCGGTGTGGGGAGAAAACAGACTAGTGGCGCTGGTGAAAATAAGTGATTAAGGTATTTTAGGAATTATTGAAAAGATAAATAATAACAAATATGAAGTTAAGCAAAAATTTGATATAAATAAAATATTAAGAAAAAAGTTAATGATAACATAATAAAAAATCATAAAAACAAAATAGAGAAAAAATATGAAAAAACATCACATTAAACAAAATTCAACTAAAATAAAATGCATTTATATATTATAAATTAAATAAAACAACCAAAACAAAAGGAAATATACTGAGATTAAATAAAATATAATATCTTATACATATTTTTATTTAAAATCGGCGTTTTAAAACCGCTTAATCGAATTGGGTTACAATAAATAAGATTTCGGAGGCGTCTCAGTTTAAATTGTAGGTCCCTCCATGTGTTGAAAAATATAAAGACGCAAAACCACAAATTCTGAGAGAAGCTCGGTCGAAATACCGCTATAATACCGCTTCAGCTCAACTATTTATATATATAGAAATTAAAAAAATTAAATTAAAATAAAATAAAATAAAATAACATAGAATTAATTAAATTAAAATCAAATAACTGTGAGTAAAAAAAAATAAATAAAATAAAATAAAGTAAAATAAAATAAAATGAAGTAAAATGAAATAAAATAAAATAAAATAAAATAAAATAAAATAAAATAAAATAAAATAAAATAAAAAAAAAATAAAATAAAAAAGATAGGAATGAACTATATAAATAAAATTAATTAATAAATTATTTAAAACAAGAAAAAATGAAATAAAGAATTAAATATAATGCTATAAGATAAAAGAAATAAATTATATTAAATATAGTTAAATAAAACATAATTAATTAATTATGTAATTTTTTATAAAGAAAATAAAATAACCAATTTTAAAAAGTAATTTACATAAAATAAGGAAAACCTAATAAAATTAAGTAATACCAAATAAATAATTAAAAAACAGATGCAATAAAAAATATTTTGAGTTAATGGAATTGAACCAAACTAAAAAAACATATTAAGTTAAAATTAAAAAAAATTAGTTTAAGTAAAGTGCAAAATTGGTTTCAATAAAATAGATGTCTACACCGCATAGTAAATTTTCATTATATTATATAAAATATTCATTTCTCTTCCAGCAACTACAACAAAGTCAAGAAATGAACGCCCGTCGGTTTTATGAGAATTTTCTCAAAGAAGCAAATGAAAACATTGAAGACCACCAAATAAAGACCGACCATAGTTCCGATTGTTTTGAGAACGATTCTCAAAGCAGTGAATGCAATTTGAAGACACCAAAGAGCAACCAACATCGATCAACTGTCCAACAAACAAGTCCACGTACATCAAGAAGAACAAAAATAAGATCGGAACGATATTCAAAACATACAGTGTTAACGGATAAATGTTCAAATTTCACAAGCTGTAATCTCTCCAACTGCAACTCACCAAAAGAAGAAGAAGTCTTCGAGAAATCTTCAGAGTTTGAGCATAATTATCAACCACCACAACAACATCAGCAGCAAGATAAACGTGATATTCTTTTAAAAATACGCCAACAAATTTTCGAAAGAAAACGTCTGAGACAAGTGTTGAATGGTGGTGGTCAGAGGCAAAGTGCACAACATCCGTTTGCAACTCATCAACACCAACAGCAACAGCAACAGCACCAGCAAAAGCAATACAGACAAACTAATATTGATTATAATAGCGTACATTTAGAGCGACAAGATGCACTGCAACAATTAGCAGACGTTTGGCGTCCTTGGTGATATGGTATTCTATAAATACCTACATAAATACATGGCTGTCTGTGTGTGAACAGTATTTTTCAATGCGTTTAGTATGCATTTTGCATTTCTATATAAGAGGTAGATGCTTTAATAGAGTTTATGTGGGCTAAATTATAATAGGAAAGGAGAATATAACTAAAGACTATAAATATTAACAAGAAGATATATATAAATATAAATATACTATTTGAATGTCTTATCTAATGATACACTTTTTAAGTATGCAAAAAACATTATTATATTTACGCTTATTTTTAAGTAAAGTACTAAACTTAGTAGCTAAGTGTGTGTTAACTAACTGCTTCCATTACCGTGTATTAAAAAACATCGATTTTTATTGAATAAAAACCAAAGATTTTCTTTAATGATATTAATGTTATCACTTCTACCATTTTTCTTTGTTGTATAAAATATATTTAAAATTAAAATTATTTAAAAGTTGCGGTTTGTTATTGCAGCCTTCATTTTCTTCGCAAACAATCTAAATTAAATGGAAAAATACCGTTTGGTTTAGAGCACTGCTAACAGAGAACAAAGTCCGGGCAATATGTTAACTCGCCCGCCATCTAGCGCGACTTTTATAATAGCTTCACATTTGCTTCACTCTTCTTATTTCATAACCACAAAATTGTAAGCCTTGGACTTTCATGTCAACCGGTCAACCATCCTATTACAATGGGATTGAGTTTCAAGTTTTACGGAAGTGCGGTAAAAGTTTAACCGATTTAGAATGGTATTGACATCCGGTTTAAGCTTTGTCCTTTTCAATACTGACGAATGCGTAAGCTCTGATAAAGAACGTATATTAATTTATATGTGCATAAATGTGTTTTTGATTTATAAGTTAATAATCACAAGTTATTAATCAAACATATCATTAATTTGTAAAAAATAAAATTCATGAATAAATAACCCTCCTTATAAAACTATGCAATGGCGAAATGCTGAAATTAATTCAAAGCGAATTTGCATCATTTGCCTCTTTGTCGTATTTGTTGTCATCGTATTGTGCGAAAAAAGGCCCAAAGAGAACCCACACTTTGTCTGCAAAACATGAGCCACTTCAATGAAAAAAACAGTTAAAACAGTTCTTTTTCCTTCTTATTAACATACGTTCCTTTGTCCTGGTTTTATCTTCTGAAAAACCATGGTAAAATTATTGTGAATCAGACCCATCAGCGCGCTACAATAAGCGAATAAGCTCCATATTAAGTTATTAAAAGAGGGAACACTTATTTTTTACGAAATACGGTTTCATTAATTTTTTAGATCTTTAAAACATTTCAGATCAATCGACTCACAAGGTACTGCGACAATTTTTTTCTGATTTTTAAATTTTTTTTAACTTTGCTTAGAAGAATTTTACAAACTTTCTTATAAAAGGTACTTTGCCGATGTGATTCACTGACTTCAACTCAAGTCAACACTTTAGAAGCAGGAAAAATATTGTATTAATTTTTCTTAAAAACACATAGAAAGGTTAGCTTCAATGATATATAGATCTCATAAAAATATTGTTCAGTTAGAAATTGAGCAACTAATTAAAATAGTACAAATTATAAATATAACAAAAAAAATCTTCACGGCTAACGCTTGAATGTTATCGACAAATTATCGATGTGTTATGAATGGAAACGGTAGAATTCGGATTGTAACCATGCCCACCTTTCATATAAAGCAAAGTTTAGAATACAGGAAAAAGCATGAATATAATATAGCTTCAGATTTGGTAGTAATTATACCACTGCAAAATAATGTACAATTTATTCACTTATCATCTCAAGTGCTTTTTCTTTGATTGTCTAACATTCAATATATTGTTATAGAAATGGCCGTTTGCGATGACACAAAAGTTTAAATTTATAAATATTCAGCAATAATGCAGGACATAAGTCATATTCACCTATTTTTGGATCATGCAATACAAGATGTGGAGATATTCCAACCAGAACGCTGTACAGACAAAAGGTTCAAAGTTGCGATAGATGTCGCACTATTAACTACCTGCAGAGCTTTTGAATGTAGAACTCAGAAGATAAGACTCATAGAAATAATGGCTTATAGCTTTTTCTCAAAAAATAGTTTTTTTCCTTATGTTTATATATAATTTAGGGTTTTCATTTCTTCATATATATTCATATATATACCTTTTTTCAGTCTCCGATTTCGAAAATTCTTTTTGCATTGGAAAGGGTGGAGCTGGAATTCGCCATCATCGATAGAAAAATATTTCAACCAGAGGAATGGGGATGGGGAGCACTTATTGTTTACAATGTAATAAGTATAGTAAAAGGTAGGCTATAATTTTTGTATAATGGCGATTTTGTACGAAAAAAGAAAATGGGGAAATGTTGACCACTAAATTTAAAAAAAAGTCCAATGCACGGATGTCACAAAAGTTAACGAGTGAGTTCTGACTGGTAGTGAAAATTAGACTAGCTACCATGAGGGGTTTGTTGTGTATTTGGTGGAAGTGGCAAGGAGTTCTCCACTGTGCAGCTTCTCTATAGCCAAAGCCCCATTTTGGACTTCTACTGTCAGCAATTGGAAGTCTGAACCAAGCTGTTGTCCATAAGCGCACAACTTTGACCAAAAAAGGGACAATGAAAGTTAAATATTTTGCGTACACACATCGATATCCATTCGCCTTTTAGTCCGGACTTTGGTAAATGATTTGAAAATTACCTTAACATATTACCTGAGGAATTTATTTATTGAGGCTAAATTATAAATTTATTATTTATTACTTTTCAGTTTTCGGCGGCTTAAATTGTTTTTAGACATTTTTTTACTTTAGTGGCTTACTAGAAAGTTTGAAGTAGGCGAAAGATTGTTTTGAAAATCTAACATTCTCTTATTAATATAAAGCAATGTTTTTCAAGTCGCAACAACAAAAATTTAAAGTTCGATATCTTAGCTACAACTCTCCAATACACGTATGAACAGAACTAATATTGAATAAAATGTTAATGGATCAAGATAGAGAATCGGAGCTTTTATTTTAACCGTAGCGAGATTGTACAGTTCAACAAATTGTTACAAAACAAATAGGGTAATAAAAAATTTTTATTTTATTTTATGAAATCAAAATGTTGATTCATTTTTATAGATCACAAAAAAAAAAAAAAAAATATAAGTCATTTTGCTTTAATTTCAAATATATTTTTATTTATCATAATTAAATACATTTTTATATATTTGTATACATAGATTTTTAGAACTCTGTGGCACGTTTTGAATGCTATCTTAATAAAAGTTCCTTCAAATCTTTTACCTATTTTAAATATATTTTTTACATATTGTAACAAAATCCTTAGCGCGTGTCTAGGTAAAATAAGCAAATCGAAGGAAAGCATATTTTTTAAACAGTATTTTGATGTGATGTGTGTGGAATATGTTCGAAATTATAATTACAAATTTATTTCAAAATTTGATATTTTATATTTATATTGAAAGCTGAAAAGTTCGCCAAATTACTTTTAATGTTTAAACGCGCATTACCATAAGGGAAATGTATTCTGTTTCATAGCGCTGGATTTTTAATCTTTAAAATATTTTCTTAGATTTAGTCTTCTTTTTTTACTTCACAATTAAAAAAAAAAAACATTTAAATAATATTATATCTATTTCATTTCTCTTCAACAACAAATATATATATATATACCTTCCTAAATCTAACTATCAGGCAACATATACCGTTCCAAAGAATTTTATTACAATACGAACGTACTCTCCGCTGCCATTTTAACCGCATTTATCGCTCTCAGTGTAACACCTCTAATAAAACATTATAGGCTTTGGAGAAATCCGAACGGAAAGCCGAGCACAGTGATCTGCAGCCCGGAAGCGTATCTCAATTTATTGAATGTTTCAAATTAGTACAGAAAATTTAATTTTTTATTTACTTCTTTATAGGCTTGACATAGATTTGCCTCTCTCGTTTACAACTTAGTGAAGCACCAGCTTATTATGGAATGACTTATTATATAAATATATGCAGTTAATTTAATATACAACAATATTATATTATTTAACAATTCTTTTATTGCAATTTCTTAGATTTCTAAAGTTAAACATTTTCCATATTTTCACCGCCGAATGAGCAAATTCTATATATAATTTTTTTCTTTTTCTTTTAATCCTTAACAACAAATAATTTATAAATTTTTACAAGTACGAGAATATGTAAATATTCGATAATTCTTAATATGTAAAAAAATCATTTGAATTAACATTCAATTTAAATAGGTCTTAATTTAATAGTTTTTCATTTAAGCGTATTAGTTCACTAATTTTTGAATTTGTCTAGCCTGTTTGATATTTTAGGTAAAAATTCATATATTTTTAACAAAAAAAAAGAAGTTATTAGACATTATAACTGAAATCAGAAAAAAATCAAAAAATAAAAAAGCTTAACACTTGTTTAATAAATAAGAGTAAATTTTATTGTTTCTATTTTAATAACAAAATATACAATTTTAATTATTTTATGGAAAATAATAAATGCATTTTTTATATTAATTATTTTTGTTTCTAATTATTCTATTTATATTTTAATTATATATTTATATGTATCTAGTAATTTAATACTTCTTTATTTATATATTAAATGTCGTAATTACATTAAATGTTTCACATTTCCACTGCATGTCCTTTGCCTTATTGAAAAATATGTTTCTATTTTTGATCTACAAGCTGGCAAAATAAAGATACGAAAATCGGTGCCATAATTTTTATATAAACTCTAGATTTGATTTTATTTAATATCGATGTAAAACGATTTTTTCAAGATTAGTTATTATTTTAATAAACGAAAAAATCGGATAAAATTTTTTTTTTAAAAAAGCCAAAATTTATACAATTAGATTATTCAAAAAAAATTAAAAATCTGTGTAGATTTCGATAGATAAACTTTTTGCGGTGGGTGAAACAAATTAAAAAAAAAGACTGTATTGCAGTTTAAAACATTTTTCACACAGACACCCAATAGGCTAATTGAGACGATTACAGCTGCTAAGATAAAATAAAATATTAGTCTAACCTAAAAACTAATACTGAACAATATTCAGCGCGGGCAGTTTAAATGACAATTTCCAGAAACTTTCTGGTTTTATTTGTTTGTAATTAAGAACCTTCTTGGAACAAAATTTTTAACAAACAGAAAAATGATATGGCTAATGGATATTCACATATTGCTAACTTCATTTGCCATGGAAACTTACTTGACTCTAAGATGCATACACAAAGGGTTGACAAAGCAAAGGTTATCATATATGAACTTATAAATATATTATTCAAATTATTATAAAATAAGCAGTAATTATGCTAAACTTTGAACACCGATTTTCTCTACCATATGATGGTGTAGACTGCGGATGGATGCAATGGATTATTATGAACAACGAGTTTATAGCATCCAGCAGAGAAGCTATTATTATAGATTTACTGATCCAGCGTTTTAGCGACTGGAATAATCTACGTGAGCAGAGAAAGTCAACGTAGAAAAATATCCAAATCTGCAACCCTTTGCATCAGCTGGAATCTTACGAATGGAATTACCGGTAATATCGAATATCGATAGTCTGATACCCAAATAATCAAGCAAAAATGATGGTTTTATTGCCGTCGATAATTAATTCAATTAGGATCAAACATTAAAAGAGAGCTCTATAACTGATGGATGTAAGCTCGACATCTACATCGACTATTTACTCATGAAGATCTTTTGATGAATACGAAGTCGAGTTAACTCCATGTTTGTTACGAACGATCGATATCAACCTGTAACATAACATGACAGATTTTGCCTACTATGACCAGATAGGACTTAATTATCTATTAAATAGATTTAGCTAAAGGGCTAAAGAGAAATCGATTTGAAAATGGAATAGGGAAACAAATATTGATTTCCGCTAAGAGTGAAATGATAACCGACTCAGAACACTTAGTATCAGTTGGTTATAGGCATTATCTCATTTTAATTGAGTATGTGTGAACGGTAAAATCAGTAACCAAATTAATAGCTAATTTACATATTTTTATATACACTTATTCTTATTTTTACATGACATATAAGTATGTACAAATATTAACTAATAACATATTATATTATTTCTGTAATACATTATATATATACATATATATAAACTAACTTAAAAACTACTTTATAATTTAATAGGAGCTATTTTACTTAAATTAGTAACTAATTATTTATATATACATATGTAGCCCATCATATACTGCTAGAACGTCCCATGCCGGTACATACCCCCGATGTCGTTGTTATATGATGATTACGCAGTGCTATTTTGTTAAAATGTATTAACGGTGTTGCTCTCGTGTTGGAGATCTGTAATACAGAGATAAAAATGATATTGAATTGATATACAGAGATTAGTAATATTTTCAATATTTGAAAAATGAAGAATTAGAGACTTATAGCGGTTATCCAGCAGCGCTTATGAGTAGGCTATACTAGTTTCAGTAATCGTGGTCAGGAAACGTGGTTTTCCGACTGGTTTGAACCAAAGCGAAATGAAGGGTAGATGAGAAGGTTTTAAGGGCCATGCAAAGATGTGGTTAGTATTAGGTATGTCGGGGTCTCGAGACGGCTTGGGTTATACGTCTGCAAAAAGTGGTGCTTGGATTCGAGTAACGCCATAGAAGATGTCAACCAACTCTTAAGTTTATTAAAAATCTACTAAATTTTTCACTAACCTCGTCTACATTTTGACACAATTTCGTTCCTACCCAGGGCCATTTGATAGTACGTATCAGGGTATTTCTAAAATCTTCACTAAACAAGCAATAAATATAGAATGTTATTGAGTAGTTTGCGAGTTCCATCAAATTGGCCAAGGCGCGAAAAACCTGTAAAAAGAAGACAACTTAATAATTAAAATTACCAAAAAAACATTTGAAACTACACACCTGAAATGAAAAGCTTGGCAACACCTCCGAAGCTATCGTCATATGCACAATTGCCATGGGTGAGACACAAACGAGAAATAAAATTGATGTGCTACCTAAAAGAGGAGGGCAAAATAAGTAAACATATTTATAAATCTCCAAGAAAAACCACATTTACTCTCCTCTACATTATGAAATTGAAAACTAACGGTTTCTCTACTCACCTAGTAACAAAAACAGTCTCCTCTCTTCGGCAAACTTCCTCGGATCCTCATCACGTACACACGTTGAACGTGATATAAGCATTTCACGTCTTCGTTGACAAGTCTTTCGATAAACTAGCATAATGCGTAAATTTAAACCAGCGATTACCACCGTTGGTATTAGCTTGAATATCACCTCAAGCATTACTTTGTAGACCTAGTAAGTAAGGAAATGTATAATTCGTAGATTTAGCTGTAATTTTTGAAAAAATGCGGCATCATCTTACAACTTACCGAATAAAAAAGTGTCTTTAGGAATTCATTATTATCACGTCTAAAGTAAACATAGTTGCCATCTGTATGCAATACGCACTTGACTAGGACGCCACGAAACACGCTTGGCAAGTAGATGATGAATGTGATCAAAGTTGTTAGGAACACGACAATGCTGTGTGGAAGGGAATATAAAAATATGTATTATAAATAGATACATTTTTTGAGCTCTTCCAAATTTTCGACTCACTAAGGCGGTCCCATCACGGGGCGTGAAAATCCCGGATGACATACTGAGACATATCTCTCGATGGTGAGTACCAGCAGCATCATGACACCAACACCTGAAAGTTTCGTGAAAAAAAAAACAAATTTTTGGCTTAAAGTTTTTAAAAAAAGGTTTATTTTTACCTAAGCAACCGTTTCCCAGAAAGAGCTCCAGATGTGCTGTATAGAAGGCAGGTCCAAATTCCTCCCAACGTCCACGATCCTTATGCACCAGCATACGCATACCAAAGGGTATGGCAAATACGATGGCCAAAAGCGCTGCGGTCGAGTAAGCTGAAATAAGAAAAGAGGGGAAAAAGAGAAAGTTATATGATTTGATGTATAAGACAAAGAAGGAAAATGACCTGAAAATGCATCTAGGAATTACGGAAGAACCTTAGCCGTGCGAATGAAATTTTCCAATAATAAAGAGGACGTTGCCTTAAAATATTTGTTGGTAAATTCTTCACGAAAACAACTACATCGCGTCAAGTTAACAGCTACAGCATATCTGAACACTTGACCGTGGATATGTAGGTAAAAGGAAAAGTGAAAAAATAAAAATAAGAAAAAGAAGTCTAACGAGGAAACGTTACAGCGTTATTGTTATAATTTTTTCACTATTTTCAAAAACTGTATATGGTCGGAAACAGTTCCATAAAAAACCCAAAAAAATATAGATTTATTAAAATCGTACAAATTACTTTTTGATGGGTAAGAATTTTTAGTTTACGTAGCCACGTAGATTACGGAAATTAATGAGATATATAAATAGTTGAAGATGGCAATATGAGCTAACTTGATATTTTGAAACAAACCATTCATAACATATGTTAGATAATGTGCTCACCAAATGAAAAATTTCACTCCTGTAAAATTAACGACATTCCACAGAGTTGGAAACTATATGAATTGGACTATTTTCGAAAATAGATATCACTATTGTAAGGTCTAAGCACCAGTTAATATTAAGAACGTATTAAAATTATGTGGGTAAGCTCAAAAATATACGTGATTTTGAATTAAAAACCAAAATCGGGTGCTTGACGTTATGAAAGTAGTCCAGCCGAATTTCACTTTATTTACTATGCAGTTTACGCAAATCCTAAGATTTCACAAGCGAGTGTAAAATTAACTTACTCCATCTTGTAACTACAGTTTATTTCTTAGAGAAAAGTGAAAAATTTCTTTCCAAAACCAATACGTATACTAGCAAGATTTGGAGAAGATTAAAAAGGTTTAATCAAAGCCTAAGAATGAGCCGAATAAGCGGTTAATTTACAAAATAAACTGAAAATTTAGAAAATTTACGATCCAATTGTCTACACAGTAAGCTTTTAGCTTGATAAAGTTGACTTAGCTGTGATCTGTGCTATATCAGTAGCGAGTTAAAGTCATCACATCTTATAAATAGATCACATCACACTATCACATGTCACCACACCAACATCAGCAAATAACTTTATCACGTTCACGCTATTATTATATATTTTTAAAAAATTTAAATAAAGTAAGTCATACATAACAACGCGGCTGTACGGCTACGATACTTATATAAAATGCTGGCATCATATCGATACATCACAATAACGACCAATTAGACAAATTAGTAAGGAGCCGTCTGGTGTATGGAGTACATTCCCTAATTTTATTGTAAGGAAAAGTTGAGGGCTTACGCTTTTCTATAGTACATTAGACCACGGTTTTATTTCCGCAAACATCGTGGAGGTGCGCTACTACCAGCCTTACAAATAATTTCTAATTTAGAGGTTACTATGATCTAATACCCCTTGCCAAGGTAGTTCTCGCTGACCTTTCCCACTTCTTCACTGCCCGACAGCTTAAAATCCAACCGACCAAATCCTCGGCTATCCTTTTCAGTAGTTGGACGAATGATTACAAGCTCGAACTAGATGTGAAGGTCGATGACGTGAAAATTCTGACCGTAAACAACACAAAGTTATTCGACAGACTATACTCGTTCATCCCCTATATGACCGCAATTGCCACAAACGTATTGAGCCACAAAAAATATTCAAAGTGCTATCAGGGAGCACCTGTAGTAAAAATAATGAAATCTTCTTGGCAACCTTAGAAGCAATTTTCCGGCCGGTCGTAGCCTATGTTGCTCCGATCTAGGCACTGGGGACGAACGAGACGCAGTTGGAGAAGCTACAAGCCTGCCAGATCACCACCTTCAGCACCGGAGCATCAATTGCAGTGTGAAGCATTTATAGTATCGTGTGATTTCTTCAATTTGGAGAGAATAATACGAGCTGCGGAGCAGAATAGAGAAGGTACAATTTTCTATAAAAGTGCCACGCTGCTGGCGTACGCCAATATTGGTATTGACATTATTGGCCTCAAAACCGCGTTGTGAGTTCTGCTTCCTCTAGACTGGATAAGGAAGCGAAGGATATGGGTCTGGTAGTGAACGAGGGCAAGACGTCATCACACAAATATCATTCGTGACTCGGCTTCCACGTCACTCTTGACAGGAATAACTTTGAAGTCGCAGATGATTTCATCTATACCGGCTAACGAAAACCAAACTCTACAAGTCCGTCATCGTTCCCGTCCTGTGATATTATATGGTCCGGAAGCATGGATGATGACAACAGGATTTTGTGGGTATCTTCCCGTTGCAAAAAATATTTTCCTAATTAATTGAAAATTGAATTAACTCGATTTTGTTCAAAAGTTGACTTATTCCATTTTCTTATACAATACACGTATAACACCTGTTGCGTGCATTTATTTCGTATACAATAAAACTGAATAAATACGAAGCTTAAGCAAACTTTTGTGTCGCACACCAACAAATCTTCCACAACTTGCTACAATTCTAACTTGTTTGATGATGCTTTAACACAATTTCAGACAATTATGTACAATAAAAATCTCAACTCGTTGCTACACACCCCCAAATATACACGGCTGCTTGAAAAATAAAAAAATAAAATAAAACAGAAAAATATATAAAATACCGCCCATGTGTCATTTGGTTGCTTTTGGCACGTACATAGGCTAGTTATGGCAAGAGACCTCCAATGCGTTTACATACAAACACACCTATTAACAGAAATATATTGCATATGTTAAGGAGGACCTTATATACCCGAGACAGCAGCGTCGCACTTTAGCACTCATTTTATTTATTTGTTTTACATTTTCTTTATTCCTTCTGCATTGTCTGAGCTGCAAGTAGTCACTAAATTTTTGTTAACTTTCATGGTCCTAACAATGTTTTGTGTTTTTCTCCTGTGTGAAAAGTTTAGACTCATTCAAGCCACGTTAGAATTATATATTTACTACACTATTGTTAAGAGATAGGCAGTATATACATATATACATTCATAGATACGCGTGTGTCAGGCGTTACAGGTGGGCTTGCTATGTTGTATGCGCTCTCATTTTTGTGGCTGGTACAGCGTTGGGTTACACACAGGGTGAGTGTTGGTATAATATGGCTTAAGTGGAAATTAAAATTTTGATAACAGAACTTGTGTAGGTACATACACATGTGTGATATATAGTTGAAGTGAGTCTCCAGGCCATTCATTTGCTGTTATTGTTTTAAGCTATTGTCTAAGCTTAAATGATAGAGAACATTAATCGAAGAAACTTTTGACCAAGAAATTTTATTTTTCAAGCAGCTGAAGATTTCCTTTCATATACCAAGTATCTTTTGGATGACCAAGAAACATACGTATAGAGGTGAGCATTAGATCTTAAAAGGTTAGTTAGTATTTATGCTTAAGATTTGAGATCGGTTATATATAAAACTTGTTGCAAGGAAAGCTCGCAAAAAGCACCGAGTGAAACACACATCTTTTAGTAACAAACCCTGCACACATGTATCACGATTTCAAGGCATGCCGCTGCCCAAACGGTTGATGTCATCGTTAGATGGAGCTCTGACATAGCAGTAGTCCGAGAAGTGCGATGAACGGCGCAAGAACGGAAATGATGGTTCTTGTGATATCTATTACAGCGACCATATAAGGTAGTGAAAATTTGGTGTAGAATTGGTTGTGGTAGTGTGATCCGCTGAGTTGGCTTAGAAATAAATCAAACCAAAGCAAAGGACTTCCAAATATTGCTGACTTGAGTCTTCAGGTCGAGGAAGGAGGACGATTACGATCAAGAAGAAATATTTTCCAACGACCTGAGACTGATCAGTCACTCAAATAAATTGATTTTGTTCTGATAGACGTAAAAACTGTCTCCAGTATTCTAAATATTCGTACGTTCCACGGACAAATATATACAATGAACACTATTCTGTTTCTGGAAAGAACTCGCGTCAACAAACACAAGGACGATCCAACGTCAAAGAGCTGCAATCACAACAGATCCGCATTACACTTCTGCTTTCTGAGTGAACCCAACTCAATAGAAGAGAACTGTGCCGCTCTCTTTGTACTGTCTTACAGAAAAAAGAACCTGCAAGGAGAGAGTACACACATCCTACCTCACAGAGTTTCGAATAATCGCGACACGTGCAGAGCGCGTTAGACACCGACGGCTGAAGAGAGATGCAAGGCCTACTTGTATACTAAGAAAGTAAAAGGCTCAAATGCGTGAGCATGAACGAATATGAAGATGCTTGAAAATTCGTTGAGCATACTTGTACCGTTGATCAGAGCATATAGAGTTCGTAGCAGGATAACTTTCTTAGAAGGCTGAATGGCAAAAAAGTGCAATACCCAGAGTCGGGAAACCCGTAACCCCAATCGATGACAATGGAATATATATTGCCTCTCCCAACTTTGATGTCCGAACGCAAATAGCTCGCATGAAGAATAGCCGAGGCGAGTAGTCCGAGTGTTTACCAACCGAATTGTTACGAAGAACTGACAAGGCGCTTACTTTTTATCAAAATTTGGTTGGATGAGTGATTATCTGCCTATGTGAACTTAATTGTGTTCTGCCAACCAACTAACTGTACTAAATATCACAAATGAAAACCAAGCAAGCATATTGTGTTGAAGATTAACCCTATGATAATAAGGCAATTCACTGCTCCCAATTTATCAAAGTGGTCTCAGTTCAGTTGATTCAACCATTAAAAAAATATTTATTCTGTGCCACGTCTATGAAAAGGCCCATGAGAAAATAATCAACACAGACTCTTCGTAGATTTCTAGGGAGACGTCGATAGTTGGTATTTGGTATGCCCACAAACTTAAGTCTTCGGTTTAATCTAAACCACCACTGAAAAGCTGATGAAGTTTTATGAAGATTTTTTATTTCATGCTAGAAATACAATCGGAGAGCTTGACATTACCTGC